TACTCTACTCTACTCTACTCTACTCTACTCTACTCTACTCTACTCTATTCTTTATTCTCTCCTCTCCTATTCATTTTACATATGAATGAGCCTTCAACCCCCTATCCACTATCAAGTCCCCCCTGCTTTTTTTGCAGGGCTGTGGCAACTTCGAATGGCCACTAAACGAACAGTTGTAAGTCCAGGTCTCTCTGCCCTGCATTGACTTCCTGCTTTGACTTACTCTCCGGTTGCCTGGAAGCCCTTGGAATTAAAAGGGTCTTCAGCCGGACGTTGGCGGGCCTTCTGGTTCCTTGGCTGGCGACGGATGTGAGGATCACTGAAGGGGTCTCGGGCCGAGCCTCGGTGGGTTTTCTGGATGGTTTGCTGGGCATCGTAATCGCGGCGGCTTTGCTCTTTGCTCAAGATGTTGTAGGCCTCGTTCAGCTTCACAAACTGGCCGTGCAGCTCTGGGTTGGTGGGGTTGCTGTCAGGATGGAGCTGCACATGGGGGGGGGGAAAGTGGGCGGGTGGGGGAATGTTAAAACCTGTCATGCCCGTCGGAGTCTGAATCCCAGGAGGAAGATGAACAGCTGACAGGGAGTGGGAGTGTGGCTCCGTTGGCTGCCGAGGAAACTGGGGAAGGGCAAAGTCCGACTGGGCAGAGCAGGGGGGAGGTAGAACAAGGGAGAGGGAGTTCAGAGGAAGACCCAGGCCCACCACCCCCTCTTCATCCTAGGGCATGCAGGGAGGAATGGAGAAGGGAGCAACGTGGTTTGCATGGCTTATGGGGGAGGAAAGGGCCCTGATTCCCTTCATTAGCCACAGCTGGGAAGAGAGTTTAAAAGACAGGCAAGCTGAGTGTGGTGTCGGCTGGAAACAAACGTGAGTTTAACTTGTTTTGACTTTAGTTATCTGTGTTCCTGGCATCCTCCCAACCGTGTTGAGTTATTGCCGTTTCTTCACATCTGGAATTCCTTCTCCTGCCCTGCCAGAATAATTACCTCATTTTGCCTTGATTGAACTTATAGTTACAGTTTTTGTTGACCACCTTTTGGACTTGATTCTCTGCAGCCAAAGGCTGTTCCTGGGAGAGTTTTTCTCCAGCCCAGAAGGTAACCAGGACATTGGGGGCAAAGTTGGAGTTAATAAAGGGACTCCTATTGATTAACTGACTGTGTTGCCTTTGTGCCATGCCCCAGGTCATCACAAAACCAGTAAGTCTCAACCTTTGCAGAATAACCTCGCCGAATAAGAGTTGGAAGGGACCTTGGAGGTCTTCTAGTCCAACCCCCTGCTCCAGCAGGAGGCCCTGTACCATTTTGATTGATCGATCGATCGATCAGAATAGAACTGGACCTAAGGACAGTGTTCCAATTAATGCACCCACGGAAAGGAGAACTCCGAGGCAGGCAGATTCTTCAAAAGGACAATTGATTGGCTAAATAAACATTGGCACCAGCAGGGAAAACCGAACTCTGAAAGTTCCCACGGTTTTCACCTGGCTTGAAAAGTGGACGTTTTCACCCGTTCCCCCCAAAGTCGTCTGATTGGACATCGCATTGTCCAATCGAGGTGCTGGCTGGTGGCTTAGTTACTTCGCTCCTCCTCTCCTCAGCCACCTGTCAGAATGACCTTGGTTCCCACGGGTTAGATTAGATTAGATGAACAGATTTTGGAAGGGACCTTGTAGGTCATCTAGTCCAACCCCCCCCACCCCCACCCAAGCAGGAGACACTACACTGTTTCTGACACATGGCAGCCCAGGCTCTCCCAGGGGTGAAGCTCCCACACCTTCCGAAGGGCAACTTCTGTTCCTTTGGTGGATTGCTCTCCCTGTCAGTAAATATCTCCTTATTTCCAGGTTGAATCTCTCCTTGGTCAGTTTCAATTTCGGGCTCGATTTTGGTCGTACATCAAGGACTGCCTGGATCCCGCTCGTTTCCGAAAAGACAGAGAAAGGCATTCTCCTTGATCTCAAAAAAACTGTTCCGCTCCCCTCCAGCTTTGCGTCCAAATCATCATTTAATTAACCGTAGGGAGGATTTATTAGCGCCTCAACCCAGCGGGGAAACGTTATAGTTAAACAGGGATGTTTAATTTCACGTTGCTCTTTAGCTTGTGGCGGTGTGTGCGGGGAAGCTGCGTGCACCAGCAAGGGAAAATGCAAACCACCTCGGCTTCCGAATCCTCCCACCGTCTACAGGAAGTCCTCGACTTAGGACAGTTCGTTTAGTGACTGACCGAAGTTACAACGGCACGGAAAAAAAGGAAGCATTTTTCACACACTGGTGACCATTGGGGCCTCCCCACAGGGTCATCAGTGATTTACATTGGGACACTTGGCCCCTGACTCACACTTATGACAAATTATATAACAAGCACTAAAAAAAGGGGGATTTACGATCATTTTTCACACTTATGACCGTTGCAGCATTTCTCCCGTCATCGTCGTCCCCCGTCTCAAAATTCAGACACTGGGCAGTTGATTCATATTCACGACGGTCGCAGCATCCTGGGGCTCACGTGATTTCCTCCCCCACCCTTATGGCGACCTTCCGACCAGCAGAGTCCATGGGGAAGCCGTGTTCACTTAATGACTGCGGGACTGATTTAAACAAACTGCAGCGGCTTCTTCGCCGAACAAATGTGGCACGAGGAATTGTCAAAATGGGACAAATGATGATGGATAACTCTTGGAGATGGAGGTGTCCCATTGGAGAAGTCACATCTGGGGTGAGGTGGAAGACCAGGGTCAAGGGGGAAATGTATGATGTAATTTAGTATCGGCTGCACCCAGCTTACGCCAACATGGCCACTCCTAATAAATCAATGTACTTTTCTCTGAGATGCGGCTAGAGACATTTGATTTGAATGAGGATGGATTTGTTGGAGCCCTGACACCAGGTTAAGTGCTGGGCTCGATCGCGGTTGTAAGTTGAGGACTGCCTGTATTAAACTGCTCGGCAGAGCAACAGGAAATTAACATCCTTCTATTTTAAGTGAAACATTGGCATGCCAATTTTAAACTTCCTTTATTTCTCTAGTCTATGCTTTCTTGCTGGTCTGCAGTTCCTGCTTTTGTGGAGCGATGCTTTCTTTGCTGGGTGAAGAAATCTTGTTAATGGGGAGTCCTCAACTTATGACCACAAAGGAGCCTGAAATTTCTGTTGCTAAGCGAGTGTCAACTCATAAAATATTTCTCTGGTCTTTTAGAGTTGCCAACGAAAAGGGAGGGGGGAGAGGTGTGGCAGCTTGCAAAACCAAAACTGCATTCCATCAATGTTTTCAAAGATAGTAACTAGGTGACTGAAGTTTCTGACTTGCAAAATTCTAACTGGAGAGCATGATTGATGACTCTGGGCTATGGATGTGTCCCATTGGAGAATATGAATTACAATACACCCAGGGTGGTGGTGGGGAAACCAGGGTCAAGGGTGACAATGAATGATGTGTCTTAGAGTCGGCTACATCCAGGCAGTGCCAGACATGTGCCCAATATATCTTTAAGTTTTGGAAATTTGGCTCGAGACTCATGATTTAAATGGGGTTGAGTGCCAGAATCCTGACAGTGAGACATTTGTGAAGGGAGTTTGGCCCCATTTTATGACCTTCCTTGCCACAGTTGTTAAGGGAATCGCTGCAGTTAAGTTTGTAGCGTGGTTGTTAAGTAAATCTGGCTTATCCGTGGTTTGTCCGAAGGTTGGAAAAGTGGGATCACGTGACCTGAAACGGGGCTGCGACCGTCATAAATATGAATCAACTGCCAAGCGTCTGAATTTTGATCACGTCACCATGACGGGGATGCTGCAACGACCAGTCGTAAGTGTGAAAAACGATCATGAGTCCCTTTTTTGGTGCCGTGATAATTCATCAGCATGAAAAACGGCCACTAAATGGACTGTTGTAAGTCGAGGACTACCTGAAAAGAGAGATTGTGCTATCAAGAATGTGAGCTTCAAAACGGTTTGGGTTACGCCCCCCCGCCCAACCCAAGTTTTGAGTTAACGGTTTGGGTTACGCCCCCCCGCCCAACCCAAGTTTTGAGTTAAGGCAAAATAAACAGAATTGTTGTATGCAGGCCCTGTGTCTGTGGTAGTCCTTGACTTACAACTGTTCTTTTAGCAATGATTCAACATGCACTAGGGGGGGGAAAAAGGATTTATTCTTATCCTATTTTGGGATTTTTTAAAAAAAAAACCTTTATCTTATACGTTAAACATGCTTCTTTTCGGACGAACAGATTGCGAAGCTTGGCTGAGTTTCCAGTAAATGGCTGAATTGACTTGTTCGATTCTGGAGGGAACAATATTTACTTTATAAAAAGACTGGAACGCTTTGTAGAGGTTTTGCTGAGAATCGATAAAAGCGAACTGCTGATTTAGGGATTTATTGATGAAAGGGGCCTGTTGATAGGAAGAAAGGAATGCGGATATGCAGTACGGGAGGGTAGAGATAGCAATTGCTGTGCGTTGTTGCTGTGGAGATGATTGGAAGTTGCTTTTTAGATATATTTTTTTATTTTATTTTTCTTATTCTCTACTCTTTTTTTAAACCCTTTTATCGTTTTTCTCTTTTGCTGTTTCTTCTATATTTCTGTAGTTTTGAAGGTAAGGCACCAAGCTAGAAAGTGGGAGACTGGGAGTTCTAGTCCCGCCAGAGATACAAAAGCCGGATGGGTGACTTTGGGCCAATCACTAGGAAACGGGGAGTTCTAGCATGCCTTACGCATGAAAGCTGATGGGGGGAATTTACACCAATCACCAGGCGACTGTGAGTTCTAGCATGCCTTACACATGAAAACGGATTGGGCAAATTTACATTAATCACCAGGAAACGGGGAGTTCTACCTGCCTTATGCATAAAAGCCGATTGGGGGAATTTACACCAATCACCAGGAGACTGTGAGTTCTAGCATGCCTTACGCATGAAAGCCGATTGGGGGAATTTGTGTCAATCACCAGGAAATGGGGAGTTCTAGTCCCTCCTTAGGCAGGAAAGCCAATTGGGTGACTTTGGACCAATCACCAGGAGACTGTGAGTTCTAGCACGCCTTACGCATGAAAGCCGATTGGGGGAATTTGCGCCAATCACCAGGAAATGGGGAGTTCTAGTCCCGCCTTAAGCATGAAAACCAACTGGGTGACTTTGGGCCAATGACCAGGAGACGAGGAGTTCTAGTCCCACTTTAGGCACGAAAGCCGGATGGGTGACATTGACTCAGTTCCTCTCTCTCTCAGCCCAACCCACCTCACACGGTTGTTGTTGTGGGGAAAAGAGGAGGGAGACAGGCGTGCTTGATATTTTTGCCACCTTGAAGAAATAATACACTGGATCAAGTAAATGAGCTATAGAGGTGCATTCCGCAGAACCTGCTAAACTAAAACAAGTGAAAACGGCATCAACTCAATGCGCTGTTATGAACCCAGCAACGTGGTGAGTTTATGATTCAGTCCATTGTGCAAAGAGCATTGTGCGAACGTAGCCGTTCCGCTGAGTTTGTAATTCCGTCTACTGTGCCAAGCGTGTTTTGTGAACCCGGCAGCTGCGGCGAGTTTGCGATTCGGTGTATTGTGGGAGGCTTAGAAAAAATGGCAAATGGACAAACTGGCCTTTGTGTCTTATGCAGACACTAACACTGGGAGCTTGTTTCCCGAGCTGTGCCTTGCATCGAGGCAGCGTGAAACTCACGGAACAGCCCCATCGATTGTGCAATATTTAGCTCGTCCTTCCCCGATTGCCAACGTTGTGCCTGACCCAAGAGAGAAATAATTCGGAATTCGGGCAAGAGAGGCACTGTGTGCCTCTCCTTGAGAGCCCAGAGTTAAAAAATCAAGTTGGAGAGGGTGGGCCAAAGAGAGAGGTGGAAGAGGAGGAAGGGAAGAGAAGAAGAAAAGGAGGAGGAGGAGGGGAGAAGATGGAGAAGAGGAGGAGGATGGGAGGAGAAGGTGAAAAGAGAAGATGGAGAAGAAGAGGAGGAGGAGGAGAGGAGGAGGATGGGAGGAGGAGGCAAGAAGAGAAGATGGAGAAGAGGAGGAGGATGGGAGGAAGAGGCAAGAAGAGAAGATGGAGAAGAAGAGGAGGAGGAGAGGAAGAAGAGGAAGAAAAAGAGGATGGGAGGAGGAGGTGAGAAGATGGAGAAGAAGAGGGAGAAAAGAAGAGGAAGATGAGGAGAGAAGAAAGAGAGAACAGAAAAAGGAGAGGAGGAGGAGAAGAGAAGGGGAACAAGAAGGGAAGGAAAAACAAGACATATTTAAAAATTGGCTGGAGAAGTTTCATCACCAACCATCTGATCCAGTTTATTGCCTAAGAAATGATCCTTGATTAATTCAAAATCTTTCTACAAAGGGCCAAAAGAGAGATTTGAGTGGGCAGGCTGTCAACTCTTCTCTGGGTGGCCCTTAGAGACCAGCGAATAGCAGCAAGGAATGGTGGCAAAGGTTTTGCTAGAAGAGATTCAACAAAAGGCCACGAAGACTAAAAGTGGTTTATTCCACCCAGTTAACACCCACTGGTGCAGAGGTCAGCATATTTTTAATTATTAAACTAATAAGAAAACCATCTCGCCTTCAGGAGTCTCTAGGTAGCTTACAACTGTTGTGGCTCGCCAGCGGCCAGTGGAGCTGGCAACAGATTCAGACAGTGAGGAGGTTGGGTAGAAATGTGGGCCAGTCCTAGAATCGGGGGAAGGTTCTGACGAGGACTCTGCATCGGAGGCAGGGATGGGGCCAGGGCCTTCTGACAGTTACCAGCTGCCTTCGGAGTCGGAGATCAGTGGGGCAGAAAAACAGCTGGAGCCCGTTCCCAGTGTGCTCATGCACAGAGCTGCCTGATGAAGGGAACAGCTACAGAACAAGGGCCAACTTGGGAGTAAAGCCACAGGGGGACGGTGAATGGCCCCTACTCTAGAGTAAAAAGGAGGAGCGAGAGGGGAGTAGGACTTTGCAGGAAACAATTAGTTCACTCTGGCATGCTTGCCAAGTATTACGGTGTCTGAAAGATATAGGCCTGGCCCCTTTCTAAGCCTGATAAAGGTTTGTAATTGGGAACTATCTTGGAAGACTGTTGGCCAGGACGTTGTTGGAGAGGAAATTCATTGTAAATCAAATAAAAGGGATTTATCGGGAGGAGGACTCAACTTTGTGCTGCTGGATCAGAACAACAAAAAGGTAAAAGACAACAACTATATCAAACAAAATATTAAACTAGTAAACCATAGAATGAGATAAGAAATTCTGAGAGAGAACAGTGAGAATAATTCATCAGTGGAACAGCTTGCCTCCAGAAATTGTGTGTGTTCCATCACTGGAGGTTTTCAAGAAGAGACTGGACATTTGGCTCAAATTATACACAGTAAGGGCTCCTGCTTGACCAGGGGGTTGGACTAGAAGATCTTTGAGGTCCTTTCCAGCTGTGCTGTCTGTTCAAACCAACCAATGCCTGCAAGCCCATATAGATCTTCCTTGGGGGAAATTCACGGGTGTTCGTGGTTCAAGGCTGCCCTCTTCAGGAAAAAAGCCAAAATTTGCAAACCGGCTTTCAACAGAGCTTTACTAGGTTTTAGCTAGTTAAACTACGATTCGAGTTCTAGCCACCGGCCTCTGTTTTAGCCATCGCTGTCAAATCTGAGCTTTTCAAGGAACACGAGAAGGTTTGAGGGACTCATTTCACTCTGCATGGTAAGCTTTGTAGTTTCATCTGACATTTTCAGCACAGGAGAAGGAAAGCAGAAAGCGGGGAAAACGCCCACCAGCTTTTGCACTGCTGTGCCCGGTTTATTTTGACACCATTACAGTCATAAGTCAAGGACTACCTTATACCAGCTTCTGTTAATCTGGTCCTTTGGTCTTTAAACTGGCTTCAAAACTATCTTGTATTTATTAATTCATTTATGAATGACATTTGGCTCCGCCAACTCTCATCAAATAGGCCCGGGGTATTTTTAAAACACCAATTCGATCAATACCGTCCCCAATTTAAACCAATCAAGACAACCAATGCATAACAATAAAACCATATAGAACCTTATCCCACAGGCATCATGCATAAATAATAGAAAGAGTCCTTTTAAAAGGTGGCTCAACTTTCCTTTGAAAGCAATCGGAGAGACCAACAAATGTACTTTGCGCATTGTGTAAAGTCTGCCTTAAAATGGGCAGCTGCTCACCACCAAACTTATCCCAGTCTTCCAAAACAGGGGTCTCCAACCTTGGCAACTTTTAAGCCAAGGGGACTTCAACTCCCAGAATTCCCTAGCCAACTAAGCTGGCAGGGGAACTCTGGGAGTTGAAGTCCACCAGGCTTAAACTTGCCGAGGTTGGAGACCCCTATTCCAAAGAAGGGCTCTCCCCCTTCCTTCCCCCCTCCCCACCCCAAAATGGAAGCTCACCTGTTTTGATTTCCTAAAAAAGGCTTGTTTGATCTCCTTTGAAGTAGCATCTTGTTTGATCCCCAGAACGTCGTAGTGGCTAATATTCCTAGCTGAAGACCTAGAAAGACAATACAGTTACTCTGCGGAAGACGACAGCGTGGAAACATTAGAGAAGGTGAAACTGGGCTTATTTCAAAGAGGGTTTTATTATTAAACCAAAATCAACGGTGATGTTGAAAAGTCTAGGACGGTGAGGCCTTGAACCATGTCGTATGGCTGTGGTGTTATAATTATTATCCCTCTTGTCTTTTTTACTACCCTCTCTTATTGGTATTATTATGATGATGATTACTACTTGCTACTTGACATGCACACTGAGAGCCTCTGTACCGGAGACTAATTCCTTGCGGGTCTTGGGCAGTTCGAATCTCACCAAGCTCAAGGTTGACTCAGCCTTCCGTCCATCCGAGGTCGGTAAAATGAGGAGCCAGATTGTTGGGGGCAAAAGGCTGACTCTGTAAACCGCTTAGAGAGGGCTGTGAAGCACTATGAAGTGGTATATAAGTCTAAGTGCTATTGCTAGTCCTTCCTTCCTTCCTTCCTTCCTTCCTTCCTTCCTTCCTTCCTTCCTTCCTTCCTTCCTTCCTTTTCAATGGTTAGAATGCAGTATTGCAGGCTAACTCTGCCCATTGCCAGCAGTTTGATCCTGATCAGCTCAAGGTTGACTCAGCCTTCCATCCTTCCAAGGTCTGTAAAATGAGGACCCGGAATGTTGGGGGCAAGACACTAACTCTGTAAATTGCTTAGAGAGGGCTGTGAAGCCCTGTAAAGCGGTATATAAGTTTAAATGCTCTTGCTGTTGCTAGTCCCTCTGATTTGAACATATAGACAGCCCTAGGCTTATGATCACAATTGAGTCTAAGGTTGCCACTCTAAGCAAGGCAGTGGTTAAGTGTGAGCCATGCCCCATTTTACAATATTTTTTGGCCAGTTGTTAAGTGAAATACTTAACATGAATCATGTAGCCGTTAAGCAGATCAAGGCTTTTCCCATTGACTTTGCTTGTCAGATGCTGACTAGGAAGGTCACAAATGATCCTATGACCCCGGGATAGCGAAACTGTCATAAGTACATGCCAATTGCCTGAATTTTGAGCATGTAAAACTGTGGGGATGCTGTAATGGTTTTAAATGTGAGAACTGATTGTAAGTCGCTTTTTTCCCCAATACCTTCAAACAGTCATTAAGCCCTGGTGGCACAGTTAGGATGTAACCCTGGTGGTTAGAATGTAGTAATTGCAGGCTAATTCTGCCCACAGCCAGGAGTTCAATCCTGATCAGCTCAAAGTTGACTTGTAAGTTTGGTTTGTAAGTCGAGAACTACCTGTATAGGAAAGATTTACAGATCAGTACTTACACCTATTACAAGTACACATTATTTTTATAACTTCATTTTTATCATAAGTATATCTACATGATAAAATAAAAATCTAGTAATAAAACAATGTGTACTTTTAATAAGTGTAAGTGCTGATCTGTAAATCTCTTTTTGTAATCTCCACTTATAATCGGTCTCACGTGTATCTGGCATTTATTTAACCAACCTCTTCTCCACTCCCTTTTCCCCACCTCCCTTCAATTTAAACTCCCACATCAGTTGAGCAATTCCACTACCTCTGATGAAGTGAGATGTGGCTTATACCAAAGCTTATACCTCTTAATTTGTGTGTCAGAAAAGGTGCTCCCCCTCCAGAGTCTTATCAGTTCAAGTGCCTGAAATAATTAACTAATTTTATTTATTTATTGGATTTATATTGCCACCTATTCGCCCATGGCGACTCAAGGCGGCTTACAAGGTATAAAACCACATTTAAAACAGTAAAACTAGTAAGAAGAATCAAATCAATTAATATAATAAAACAATCACCTCACCACCTCCCACCCCAGCCACAGCAGAACACACAAGCCATTCAATGGGCTCCATCCCGCTCTGGGTTCCCCAGGCCCGCTGGCAGAACCAGGTTTTCAGTGCCTTCCAGAAGAGAATTAGAGATGGGGCCAATTAATTTAATCTCTGGGGGGATGATGTTCCAGAGAGAGGGGGCCACCATGGAAAAGGCCCTTCTTCTGGGTCCCACCAGGGGTATCTCCTTCAGGGATGGGACCTGCGGCATTCCCTGCCTTCCCATTCTGATGGGTCGGGTAGATGTAACCGGCAAGAGACGGTTATCCCTAAGATAAGCTGGTCCCAAGCCATGAAGGGCTTTAAAGGTGACAACCAGCACCTTGAATTGCACCCGGAAGCAAATCGGCAACCAATGCAGCTCGTGCAGGAGAAGTGAAACATGTGCACACCGGGGTCTGCACAAAACCATGCGGGCCGCTGCATTTTGCACCAGCTGGAGCTTCTGGATGCTCTTCAAGGTCAGCCCCATGTAGAGCACGTTGCAATAATCAAAACCAGGGCATGAGTGACTGTGAGTAGGGACTGTGGGTTCAGGAAAGGGCGTAACTGGTGCACAACCCACAGTTGCGCAAAGGCCCTCCTGGCCACGACCGCCACCTGCTCTTCGAGGAGTTGTGAGTCCAGGAAAACCCCTAGATTACACACAGGGTCTGTTTGGGGTAGTGACACCCCATCTAAGACAAAAGGTGGTCATTCTCCCTGAGCCAACGAACCCCAAACCCAGAGCCACTCGGTCTTGCAAGGGATTAAGTTTCAACTCTTTTGCGAGAAAGAGACTCACCAACCGTAGATTGTGGAAGTAAAAGGCAGATGCCGGGAATTTTGGCAGAGTTGGCAACAACGGCAAAGGAAATAAAGATTAGCCAAGGCCATTTCTTGAAATCCCTTCTCCTGATTTCATCCTGACCAATGGAAGAAGACAGGGAGAGTCATTACAATGTAAGGTCAAAGTTTATATACAGTATTTATTTACAGTGCTGGTGGTTTTTGAAGGGTTCAGTATAGTACAGGTAGTCCTCATAATTGCAATGGGGCCCCAAATTTATGTTACTAAGTGAGACAATTGTTACGTTTTGCCCCATTTTACAGTTTCTCTTGCTGCAGCTGTTAAAAAGCAAATCATTGCAATGATGAAGTTGTTAAGGGAATCTGGTTCATTTTGCTTGTCAGAAGGTCGCGAAAGGGGAGCATGCCTGGGTTTGGCGCTCTGGCGGTCGTGGCCAGACACTGCAACTGTCATATGTATGAGTCAGTTGCTTAGTGTCCAAAATTTTGATCAACTGACCATAGGGACACTGCAGCGGTCGCAAAAACGGCCATAGGTCACTTTTCTCAGTGTTGTGACTAAACGAATGGTTGTAATGGACTACCTCTAAGAGGATACACACAAAGACCCCAACTAAGGGCTCAGAGCAAATTTCCCCAGCCATCCAAGCAAAATCAAGGGCACAACAATGTCTCCTTTGCAATTTGTCGTGCATTAAAGATGGATGGGTTATTAGTTGATGAATTGAGTGGCCTTTGACCGCAATAAACCGAGATAGAGCCAATAAATAATTGTGATGACAGTAAGCTAGGTGACTACAACTCCCATCGCTCCCCTGAAGCAGCCGAGCCAAGAATCCGCCTTGGTGGGAAGAAGCAAAGGGGTTAACCATCGGAGGGACGGAACTTTAAGAAGCCTGCCTGCTATTTCCGGCGGAAGAAATATAGGAAGGACCCAAGCCAACTTGGGAACCCGGAAGTGCAGCGGAAGGAAAATCCAAAACAATCCGAAGAGAAAACCGGAGAAACGGGTCAAGGGGCGTTTTGAAACGGCTCGTCCTTTTTAAAAAAAACAAAACAAAACAAACCCAAACCGCAGCTACTCCCAACTGCCGGAGCAAACGCGGGAAGGTGACCGCGGTGAGGCGCAAAAAAAGAGGGACGGGCAATGACGGGGGACACGGCGGTTACCATAGAAACTCACCAACGGGTGCGTCTACTTCGGCCGCCATTTTGTTCTCCTTGCCGCGAGCCCCGAAGGGGAGGAGGGAGGGGGGGAGGAGGGAGGGAGGGAGGGAGGGAAAAGAGCGACATCCGGGTATTCTCGAAGGATTCCAGTCCTTGCCTCCAAAGGGGCCAGTCCTACAAGTCCCAGAATTCCTTGCCGAAGATGTTGAGGGGGCATTTTTGAGAGCGTAGATGTAGGCACGTTGGGATGGAGGGCCGGTTTGTTATCTTCTGTTTTTTTTTTTCTAAAGTTCTAATTAGGACGTAGATACCAAACAGGTATATCTTTCCCTCATGGTTTGGTGAAAAGTTGGAGTGAGTCAAGTGTTATGCACGCAAACACGTCATACAGTGTGTTAAATGAAAAGCTAGACTGGTGTTTCTCTTCTCGCCCTTAGCAACTCCCAGAATTCCCCAGCTAGTGTGCCTTAAG